CAGATAGCACTACATTATATAGAATCATTAACAGTAAAAAAATATTATTTACCTGACTGTAATCATGGTGACATACCAAAGACAAGACTTTTGTTAAGAAATCTCTTCTATGATGAAGAAAACTAACTCAATCCCTCTGTAGAACAAGAGGAATTACTTGGAGAGATGGACACTGACAAGTAACATGAGAAGATACTGGTTTATATAGTACCAATAGGTAGAAAGAAAAAATTGCAGAATGCATACTACTGTGAACGATAATGACATACCAGTGATGAGACCTTTGTTCCATGATTTTGGAGATCAACAAGGTACAAAGCTCAGTCTTTCATGATATTTGTAAAGCAATAGAATTTATTTGGAGAAGTTGAACATATCACCAGAAAGGAAAAACCCTGATCTGTGATATAACTATAATAGTTTCATAGTTTCCATTGAATTGCCATAACATTTCAGCTAAGACATTGTAGAGATTTTGCTTATGGGAGACGAAAACTTCTGAAAAAGGCTGTAGAATGGATTCGCTGAAATGAGAGGGCAATCACAAAAAGAAAGAAAAAAGTTCAAATTTTAAATAACTGTATTTGCATTGGAGTATTGTCCTCTTCTTTGTCATTGTTATCACATTTTGACCGTTGTACTCTCCGTTGTACTGATTTGAGTAACCTACAGGGAATTCCAAACTGAACACTTTATTTAATCTACAAAAGTAAACTGTTCTCATTCCACTGACCATGTCAAGGTATATGTTGTTCATATTTTTAGGACTGCTCAGTTGTTGCTCACCCTATTTCTACTGAGTTCAAGTACACACTACGTGGACCAGGAATTGAACATACAATCACTGTCACCAAATTCACAAACCAACACTTTAATCTACTACAATTAAAGTGTCGGTAATAACTGGTGGTGGGCCAGGTAATACAGAAATTTATCTCCTCTGGCTGATGTAGGTTCTGCCTGTACAAGGGGGGTGTTAAAAATTAATATTAACTCAAGTCCCAGGAAGCTGTCTCTGCAGAGGCTTCAGGAACTATCAGGGTCATTACCTGGTGCCTATGGTATTTCCAAAATGGCAAGTGCTGAGAAACTTCAGCAATTTTTGTACCCATTCCGTGTATTAATTGGGTTTAATTCACTTTAAATTTGACCTTGCATCACATTCAACTTGAATGCCTGTGTGGCTAAACCACTACACTAAAAAGGAAAAAAAGGGGTAATGAGGACAATTTACCCCTGTGGATTGAATATAGGATTCAGTTCAAAACACCTGAAGAAGGGCAGAGGATACAATAGCTGAAACATTGTGACTATAATAGTATAAGATTAGCATACCTGTCCAGATAGAAAGGCATATAATAATTCTTGAATTATTCATATATATTTTTGCTTAATTCAAAACATATCCTTTCAAAAATTTGATATTGCTTATGTTCAAACAAAGGAGCATGTATTTTGTATAATTGTCTTTTTATTTTAACATGGTCAATCCTACTGGCTATAGTTATGTATGACTGAAAACATGAACCTGAAATCATTCAAATTTATTTTCTTGTTAACACTCTGAATATTGCAGGGTTTTCAAATACCATTTAAAATATAGATATACTGTTTACTTTTTAATTTTCTAGTTATGTATTGTGTTCCTTCTGGTTTTTATGGAATGAATAAAAAAAAATCATTTTTATTTTGAAAAATTGAATTAGAAGACCAATATTAAAAAAATGAAATTGTAAATTTCAAAATTTTATAGTTGAAATTAGTAGATGCAGCCATAAGTTCTATGCAAACAGTTTTTTTCATGCACTTCTCACTTGTCAAACTATCTTCCAGCTTCTTGCTTTCCAGTCAACTTTGATCTTCAAAAATTTGAATGCAACATTAACCATTCTCTTTTGTCTTTTTAATTCTTGTTCATTTATTGTTCCTCACTTTAATAATATTTTTCTCTTATATTCTCTCACACTCAGTAACCCCTTGCATCTTAGTGGTTCTATTGCCTTGCTTGGGGTGAAATGATTATGAAAAAATGTTGTCAATAAGTGAAGGTTTTGTTTCAAACTCCAATGCTGACTGTGCCCTTGTGTGCATTCAAGAAAGGTTAAAGTTCATAAGGGGACAGAAGATAGTCTTGGTGTATACCAACTAACCAAGCTAATGATGAACACCGAGAAAAGTCAGTGGTCAGGAACTAGTAAGCTAATTTCAATATCTTGATTATCAGTGCAAAGGACTCCAGAATAAAAATAAGACTAGCACAAATAATGGCAGCTGTTGCAAATCTAAAAACCATCTGGAAAGACAAAAACATCTGCTTAAAACCAAAAATCAGATTGTTGTGTCCATTGGCTGACTGAATTTTTTTGTATGCCTGCAAATCTTGAACTTTAACAGCAGAATTACAGTGAAGTAGTCAAGCATTCAAAACAAGATGAAATACGAACCATCCTAGGCATATTCTATGTCAACTGCATCACAAATGATGCTGTGGGAGACATCATCAAACAAAATGCAGACATTTGAGAAGACCTTGTATCCATCATCAATAAAAGAAAGTAAAAATGGTATGGACATAAGAACCGAAAATCTTTCCAGATCATTCACAAGACATATGGCGGAATCTGAACAGGTGCTCAGCTGTGCAGTAGCTCTATAACCACACCCGGACTGGTGAGGACTTGTGCATTTGGAAGAGACTTATTCTGGCACTACTTGGTTAGACCCAAGAAAGTAAACAGCTAACTAGGTGAGATTTCATCAACAAAGGAAACAAAGAAACCATAAGAGATACAACATTTAAAAGTAAATCCAAGAAATGTATATGATTATATAACTAGAGAATATATCGAACACAAGATTTATTTATAACATAACAGATGAAACATTTTCATTTTTCATTATGGTTTGGTTTGTTGTGTTTTACGGCATATCAACTTCAATGGGTTATTTAATGCCAACAAAGTTTTTATTGCTGGTAATATTTTGTTTTGTCAAAAATCTATTTCTGGTAATAATTTTTTCCTTCAAAAATGTATTGCTGGTAATATTTCTTTTCCTCAAAAATGCATTGCTGGTAATATTTTTTTTTTCCAAAATGTATTGCTGCTGATATATATTTACAAAGTATCTCTGATATTAAAACCCACTTTTACCCCAGTTTCGGGGTTCACTATTTGCCCACAGCTGGGACCCTAACAGGTGCTACTACCTCTGGTCAGGGTGGACCTAGGAACACCAGCAATTAAAAGGTGGTTTCATGCTCCTCCGGACCAGAGGCCTTGCTGCTGGACATAGTTTATCATCATACTCAGGTCGCCATTTTCATTATGCTCAAAAATTTAAAAGAAAATGACAGATGTTTGGATGAGTTACATTTCTTTCATGTTCCTTTGATAAGGAGCAAGTTCCACTCAAACAGCTCCTTCCCCCAGAACTGTTACTTTATGGAAGGATGCTTCTCTTTCTTGGTCTCTTCAAGCCCAGGCTCAAAAGAGTTCTATCCTCATATTTGTGAACTTATAACTAGTCCACCTCCGCCCTCCCTTACAACAATCTCACTCAGTAACTCTCCAGTGGAAGTGGAAGTGGATAGTAAGCTTTGTATTGCGTGAACTAATAGTATAAAAGAAAAGGGAAAAATACTCAATCTTAGTACAAGAAACCATTGATTAATGCACATTCAATTGATGTTTTCAATTAGTGCACTAAAACTTTTATGTACCAAAATTCGATTAGTGCAGTAAAACATTTTTCAGATTAACCATAGTAAGTGAAAATTTATATTTTTTTTATAGTTACCGACATACAGATTAGCTGTGCTAATCAATGGATTCCTGTATAATGAATACAGTCAGTCTAACATATAAGAACTTATAAGATTAAAAGAAAGGATAGTTCTATATAGAATTATATAGAGAGACATGAACCAATTGAAGTGTAGAGACAAAGAGGTAAAGTGAGTGAGATGAGGAAGGTGGATATAAAAAGGCAGAGATGATTTTTTTTTTTTTTAAGCATTTTACACCAAGCAAGGCAGGAAAACACTAGCACGCAAGGGGTTATAGAGAGTTGGAGCAAGAGCAAATAGGAGTGATAGAGGAAAGAATGAAGAGAAGGATAGGGGATAGATCGAGACATCAACTGACATTACATTTGAATAGTTGGAGATTATAGCTATCAGGGAAACTGGAAAAGAGGAGGGAGTTTCACAGGTGAGAAGTGCGAGACATGAAGCTATTGGAGTAGAAGAGATGGCTACATTTCACAGTTTCAACAGTGAAAGGGTGAGAGAGAGAGATGCCAGCTTGGTAGAATGCTTAAATTCATGAAGTCTGGGAACCAGCAAAAGCAGCTCATTAGAGCAGTTACCATGAAAGTATTTGTAAAAAAGACAGAGGGAGGCAACGGCATGTCTGTGAGAGAGCGACTGCAGAAAGATACCAGATCAGGGCCAATTACATTGCATATCCGTCTCTAGATTTTATCAAGAACCTTGAGATAAACAAAAGGGGCACTGGACCATATATGGCAGCACTACCCCCATGCAAGGGCGAATGGTTGATTTGTAGATTTGAAGGATCGACTCCAGCAATTATAAGAAGTATAGTGCTGACTGATATCAACAGAAAGAGGCTGAGTTTTATTTGCCACTCATGATATGATAAATAGACTTTTTTTTTTTCTTTAATGTTGGAAATATACACATTCAGTAAGGCACACCACCCAAGATCACATTTTTTTATGATTTATCTAGAAATTACTCTTTTTGCTCCTTGGCCATTATTGTAGATATAACTGTACCATTCTTAATAAAACATATCTCAATTTTCTCACCATATCTGCATAGACTAAAATAGTAATAAAATGTAATGATTTAGTAAAAACACCAAAAAAATGTTAGTATTCCATTTCAAAGATTGTGCAAAACACTCACTGTAGTTTCCAGAATTCTGTAGATGCATACGGTTTAGTAAGATGGAAATAATCCCAGTATTTCTTACCTGTCGAATGAGAGATGCATAGGTAAATGGAGGTCGTACATCTGTCGTTCGGTAGAATTCCCGATTTCTCTGGATTTCTACAAAAGAAAGAAATGCGTTCTCCATGTCTCTCTGCATTCCTAAAACAAAACAGAAATAAATGTCCTTGGAAAAAATACTTAAAAATTGGCAAAAAAATATGAAGGTGAAAAAGAAGATAAACAAAAGAAAAGGAAAAAAAATGAAAGGAAAACAAGAGTCCAACAGAAGGAAAAATAAGAAAGGAATGCAATGAAAAAGTAGGAAAAGAATGAGAGAAAAGTGAAAAGAAGAAGTGGAAGTAGAGAATAAATATTAAAAAAAAAATGAAGAAAGGTGAAATGAAAATGAATGAGGAAAAAAGTAATGAATGAAAACAATAAATAAAGGCAAAATAAATTAATGAAAGAAATTGTAAAAGGAAGCATAATGTAGGTGAAAAATAAAATTAAAGAAAAATATTTATAATGAAGTTAAATAAGCAAAGCAAAGCAAACGAAAAAAAACGACTTGTCTATAAATAAATAAAAAAATTAAAGATAATTACTTTTTTCTTTTTTTTTTTTTTTACAAAAAAAAATTACATCAAACGGCAAAAAACACTCAATAAGTTTTAGCCTTCCGATCTCTCCCCTCCACAAAAAAAATTGTGTGTCAAAAAGTCATTTTTCTCTTGACACCACTATTACTTCATACTCCATCGACTCCCTTGGCAATTTTTATTGTTTTAACAAAGCTATGTTTAGAATTTTAAAAACAACAAAAATGCTACACAGTATTTAATTTTTAGATTTATTTATAGGATTAATTTTAGCTTTACAAGATTATTAAAATATGTGAACCAACTACAATGCAATGTTTATTATTTACCATTTTATAACAATATGAAAAAAATTTTTTTTTATTCCAAAATGTCTGCACTCTTGAATAAGAAAATTTAAATCAACTTTTTTTTTTCTTTTTTTCTCTCAAGCATGATATATTTTCTTCACAGATATCTTTAGATAAGAATAGTGTTGCTTTGGACATCTTGAAAATGTTCAACAGGATTTGGCATACTGATCTTCTTCACAAGTTGTAAAGTTATAATGTCTCCAGATAAATTTTTGAACTGATTCAGTCTTTCTTATCAAATCATGAAATGAAAGTTATTTTGAATGACCATTCTTCTTGATCCTTTTGTACTAATGCAGGTGTTTCCAAAGGAATCTATCCTTGGTTCTACATAGTTCTTAATTTTCATCAACAACATTTTTGATAGCATCAGCTCTCAACTTGGTATTTATATTGATGACTGATCTCAAAAATAACCTAACTGGGGTAAGGAATGGCTTGTTAATTTTAATGTCTACAAAACAAAAATGAGCTCTCTCTCAATCCTCTGAGAGTCCACTTTCTGCCTTCCATCAGCATGGCTGATGCTAACTTCCAGGAGAGCATCTTGTGCCTTCTCAGGCTAACATTCTCAGCTAACATGAAAGACTATATTGAATTAATTGCTGCTAAGAAAGTTGGTTCACTGTGTCATGCAAGACAATTTTTCTATTAAGAATTTATCTTACATATTTAGAAGTCTACCATACATCCATGCTTTGAATATTGCTGCTACATACAATCTAGTGCTCCTGCTATATATTTAGAGATTCTTGATAAAATCCAAAAAATCTACAATATTATTGGTCCTGACCTGGTATCTTAAGTCACTTTCTCGTTGCTGTAAAGTTACTTCCTTGTGCCTTTTCTATAAATACTTTCGTGCTAATTGTTTGAATGAGCTTTGCTATAGTATCTAGACTTTATGAATTTAAGCACAGTAATAGATTGGCAAAAAGGCCTCATCATTTTACAGTTAAAGTTGCTAGATGTAACCATAAGTTCTATGCTAAAAAATTTTCTCACACTTCTCACTTGTGGAACAGTCTTTCCGGCCAACTCTGACCTTCAAAAATTGAAATGCAATGTTAATTGTTATATACTGTCTTTCTGATTAATCTTCTATTGTTCTCACTTCTTAATAATGTTTTTGTTTTCCAATTCTTTCACACCCAGTAATGCCTTGTGTCTTAGTGTCTTTATTGCTTTGCTTGGAGTGAATTTTTGATTTAAAAAAACAAAAAAAAAACAATTACTTTTTTTATGTTTATATATAGGTTGCCCCCACGAAAAACAGGTAATTTGGTACAGTTTATTTAATTGTTGGAATTTTTGTTAGGCTTATTTGAAACAAAAGCAAATGATATAAATTTAGTAGCTTAATACAGATCAAAACAGATGTGGTGTTCAAACTAAAAAAGTTAATATTTTTTAATTATATAGTAAATCTGAATTTTCCTGTATTTTTTTTTTTTTTTTTTTTTTTTTGCGGTATCCTGTATAATCATGATTTAGGATCAAGGCTACCTGATCAATAAAAATACCCAGTAAAAATAAACAACTTTGTATAATTATACACAAAAAAATCCTTACCCACCAAATGAATAGGGTACATACTTAAAATATTAATTGTTTATGGTATCACCTAAATTTAAAACTTTTTTATATCTATTTCTTCATAAAATAGTAAATAATATTTCATGATAATTGGTTCAAATACTTTATTAATTTTGTAAATTTTTATAAATTTATGTATAAAAAGTGTTTTCTTATTTATTTTTCATAAAATGGTAACATAAATACACCATTGTAGTTGTTTCACATATTTTCATAATCTTGTAAATAATCTAACAACTAAATAGTGTGTAATATTTTTGTTATTAAAATTCTAAACATAGTTTTTTAAAACAATGAACATGGTCAATGGAGTATACAGTTATCAAGTGGTGTCAAGAGAAAAACCATCCTTGCGAGGCACCTTTTTTTTATGGGTTTGAAGATTAAACTTTGCCAAACACTTATTTACAACTTCAAAAACTTGGCAAAAGCTCGCACCAGTCTATTTAATCATTGTTCATTGAAAAGCTTTCATAATAAAAAAAAAATCCAAAGCTTTTTTTGTTCTCAAACACTAGCACAATATATCAATTAAGAAAATTCAAATTTGTTCTGTGGCTCCCTTAAATCCAATTAAGTCAATTCATGGCTTTTAGAAACCAATTTGTACTGATTACAAAGAAAAAATAGCAGCTTCCAAAAACAGTCATAAAGAGCCTCTTAAAATATTTTTAAATGATGTAAAGAACAAAAAAGTTTATTTGAAATCTGATGGTGAAGTGGAAGCATCGGAAAGAAATCTATTAGAGATTATTTACTATCCCATAATACTATGTGATACATGTTACATGGCAGACTTTAATGTGGTCATTCATTTATTCAGAAATTGCTAGACCATTGCCACAGACATTAACATGGACTCCTACTATTCTTAATGCACTGAAGAGGTGCTATCTTGAGATTACATACATCATCATCAAGTTTCAATTAATTATTGGTTTCTAGACATGAATGATTGAAAACCCAAAATTATATGTCCACAAATTGTGAAACAAATCATGAAATAACAAGGGTCATAGAAAAACAAGTGTAAATTCAGACGGACAATAACAAAACGCTTCATTTTCTTTTATTGCTTACAGCTTACATAAAACAATAGTTAAGATTTTCATCTGGAATATGAACACACTCACTAGTAAAATAGTTAAGTAAAAAAAATGGTAATATTTATATATTGCTGAGTTAAGTTTAGTAGCAGAATACTAAAAGGGAGAAAACGGGGGACTAGAAAGATAGCTGTACCACTCTTCCAAGAAAATGAAGAAAATGTTTGTTTCTGAAATCAGCATTCAAAATTCGAAATTTATACCCGTGTTCAAAAATATATTTTAAAAAAATTTGATCAAAGGGAAGTTATTTTACTTGTCAGAGTTACTCCCCTTGGTGGCGAAGCGTGTTTGTCATGCGTCAAAAATTTCTACAAATTGGGGTGAAATCAATAAAAAGAACAGATACTTCTCACTCCTTGAAGGAACCTCTCCCTGATGGACCATATCTTCAGGGTGTAGCCATACTCACCATGCTTGGCCAATTGCAGGTTGGTGATGTTAAACCAAGTTTTACTACACTTGTTAGATATTGTGCTTTTTCCTTTCTTTTTTTTTTAGAAAAAAAAATGTTTGTGGCAACATTGTATGTCTATCAGATTTATTTTGCCAATTCAGTATACTCACATCTTGTCTCTATTTTATTCTGGTAGCAATAAATATTTATTTTTTTAATTCAAGTAAATTTTTTTTTTTAATTTTTAAACCTGATGCTATTCCACAGTTAGTATCATGTAAATAGAATATTTATACAGACTAGAAAAACGAAAATTTCAGGAGTCTTTTTATTTTGGTTTGGAACCAAACATACAACACCTCTAACGTATGCCGATATGGCAATAATAAATAAATCGGTGAAACAAATACAAAATTGTTTCCTCTTTTCATTCCATAGTAAGCATATCAAAACACCACCATCTAAATGGTATCACTGGTAAAATAATTCCTACTTACCAGCAGAAATCGGAAGATTACACTTATCCGATACCCGTCGTCGAATTGGTCCCACACTGCTTGATGCCTGCTGCTGTTGTGGGGTTTGTTGCACAGGAGATGGTGATGGGTGTGTTCCAGTCACAACAGCTGTAGTTGTGCTGGTAGTTGTGGTTGGAGACATGCTAATGGCAGGTGTTGACACCAGGGTCACAGGATTTGACAAGGGAATTGTGGGCAATTGAGAAGCCAGTGCCAACTGAGCCTGTTGCAATGCAGCTTGCGTTTGTTGTTGTTGCTGTTGCTGCTGTTGTTGTTGTTGTTGCTGTTGTTGTTGCTTTGGAAGAATAGGGAGGATCTGGAAAAAAAAGAAATTATTTTTTTGTTTAATAAAAGAAAACATAATTTTCTTGCTCAAAACTATAAACTATAGATAAAGCATTACTATCATTCAACAAATCTTTGTCACACAGGATCTTGTGACTGTGTATTTATAATCTGTTCAAAAGATGATCCCAAGTAATAATGCTGACTTTTAATCTAGGTAAGCTCTCACCACTGAAAAGATTAATACAATCTTTCTCTTTCTTTGTAATTTTGACCTTGTGTCATACTAAGTAAATAATGTGTGGTTAATATAATGGATATATGATACAGAAAGGTCAATCAGCAAATTTAGTTCAAATTCCAACCTTTTCTCTTACACTATTGTCATTAGGAAAGGGTTTAATCTGTCTCTTCTCTTCTCCAGCTATGGGTTAAATAGAAGAAACCACTCCAGTCTCTTTCTCAAGAAATCATAGCAATCCATATATAATAAGAAGGAATCTGTGGAGAATCATGATTGCCTATTTCCTAAAGGGACATTGCATTTAAAAGAAAAAGGATTAATGCAATAAAAACAGACATGATAAAAAGGGAAATCTACAACTACAGTAGTTGGTAACGGAAAAAGAAAATCATGATAGCCATGATTTTGTTGAGGCAGGACCAGGATTAATCTCACACAAAGCAAGGTGGGTCCTGCCTAACAGATCTCTTGTCATGATTTCAGGCAAGATTTTTACAAGACCAAATACTCTTCTTGATGCCCAACTCACAGCAGTTCAAGTATACTGAGTGTTTTTATCAAGACACTGTCTTAAGTCAGGTGTAATTCAAGGCTTGAGACCTATCATAGCCAGATAGGATTAATACAAATATTAAATTTCTCAGATGATTGATATTATATTCTACACCTCTACTCTGGTGTTTTCATAGACAAATCTTTGTGAAATTGTTCAGACCACTCGTCAGGAGATATCAGCAAATATCTGCCAATTTTCTCATTTTCATTTTTATATTAAGTAAAAAAAAAAAACAAAAAAAAAAAACAATTCATCGACTTTTTTTTTTATTGATGTTAGGTTAATTTTTCTTCCATGTGTGTGTGTGTGTCTGTGTACATGTGTAGGATATCCTGGTTATTTCTTCTTTTTATAATTTACTTGTATCTTTATAGACTCTCGTTATTCATTTTCTTTCTGATTATCAAAAGAATGAAGCAAAGTTATTTCTGGAGTCAAAGACAACTTAAAATTAGCTTAATATTACATAATATTCTGGTGTTTTCTAAAGTTTTTCAAAATATAGGTGTATTCCTATTACTTTATTTCTTGTTTAAATAATTCATTTTTTTTTTTAATTAGTGCTTACATAGCAAAATATAATATATTCTCAACATCATATAAAAGAAAATATCATAGAATCAGTTATTGCATTTTGCTCATCAGAACTTGATTGAGGAAATTAAAATATTGTTAAAAAAAAATAGCTTATTGAAAAATCCTCAGTTTGATAGCAACTGGAGCAATAAAAGTTGTGGATAAACTCTGACATCATTCTGAATTCCTTGTATGATTATCTACAGAAAAACTTTTATTTTTTTTTACTTTTATTTTTCACACCATAAAAACTGCCAAAATCTCAACTCATAAAAAATTTAAATGAGAGAAAAAAAATAGAAAATAAATGAATATAATCAGCCATTTTGGCCATGTGTTTAATATTGTGGCTGAGATAGTTGCATGTTTTCTTTTCAGCTCTTTTATTCTTAGTCTGTGTCCCAACCCAGATAAAATTCTGAATGCTGCTAAAATACAATCATCCCAATAATCTTTTCTCTTATAGCTTTGTGTCAGAAAGTTCAGTTCAGTAAATAGTACATCCCACAAAAACCAACAATTTCATTACAAACATATAAATAGCGTAATGGTGCCTTAGTCCCTTTCAAAATATTCCCAAAATCTCACCCAATGCAACCTCCTTAAGGATCACCATTAATTGCCTCTTGGTATTCTTGACTAGATAAGAACAAAAACTGATTTTGTGTGTATATATATATATAAATATATATATGTGTGTGTGTGTGTGTGTTATTGTATGGTTAAATTTTATTGTATTTTTAATGAAAAACAGAACAAATATCCAGGAAATGTTATCACACGCCTAAAATAAGTTTATTACGATCGATTAATAAGCAATGTAAGAAACGTAACTCTTTCATCATACTTTAGAGTTACTTCCCTTGTTATCTTACTCAAAAACAGTATTAATACTTTCTCTATTTTTTTGTAAATGTTTTTTTTCTACGTGACTACACATTTTATATTATCTCTCATTGACCAAGCCGAATTTGCAATTATTTCAAAGTCAATAAACGATTATGAAAATAAGACAAGACAATATTGCAAATATTTCAAACAATAAATCAAAAGCCATGTTAGTCAGAACGTGGTGAAAAGTTTTTGACCAAGTAAAAATTCATTGAAAAAATAATTTTGTTTAGTCAAACAAATTTCAGAAAGTTGTTTAGGCTGATAACTTTTCAGCACCCCCTTGTAAAAATTCAATTTTTCAAACAAAAAGTCTTTGATTGTTAGCATGAAATAAGAAGAAATAAGAGTAAAATTAAAATGTTTAATCTGAAGTAGTCACATCAATTAATCAAGATGAGACAACTTTGTCTTTATTGATTTTTTTTTTTTAATCATATTTTGGGACCAAAACTTGCTTGGACATTATTATACATTATGAAACGAACTTCTATTATTCAACATATACATATATCCCAGGGTCACAACTCACATCTATCCAACCAAATATGTTAGCTCTATCTCTGATATTGGGCGCTTTCTAATAAGAACCGCGCATATAATATATAAATAATTATACATATATATATATTTATTTATACACTTTTCACATATATATAATATATATATATATATATTTACATATATTTAAAACAAAAACAGACCACTTTAAGGTACCATTATAATAATTTATTTCACCAGAGCCCTTTTAAAGGATGCCGGATCATCAGATAGCACTTCCAAAAATCTTGAGCTCTCAGGATTTCATCCTCCTTGGGATTACCCATACGGATTACCAAGTTCTTCATAACTTAAATAATATATATATATATATATATATATATATATATATATAAATATATATAAATGAAGATACATAATATCCAAAGTCGATAGCATGGCTTGGAGTTTCATGCAGTTCTTGCAATCTTCTGGTGCAAATATAATCTGACCATTATATAGTTTGCATTCTCATGGTGGTGTGTGTGTGTATATATATATATATATTATATAAGGGTGCGATGGTAAAATTGTCATCTAAATTACGCAAAAATGAAAATAACACTGACATCTCATTTTAACAGATATTTTTGTGTAATTTAGGTAAATATATCTTGAAATACTAAAGAGTAAATTTATTTAATAAAATCGCCATTGGCTTCAAACATGGCCTCCAGACGATTATGAAATCTCCTGCAAATCTTCTGAATGGCCTCCTTGTTTAAGTTGGTGGATGCTGCCACAATCCTTGCCTTCAGTTCATCTTTGGTGTTACAAGCAATTTTGTTGGTCTCTTATTCAACTGTGCCCCACACATAGTAATCAAGGGGGCTGCAGTCTGGGGAGTTATGTGACCAGACGTGGTGATATGGTCACAGAAATTGACAGCCATAACTAGGTTCTCATGTTTGTTTGGCATGGTGTTGCCAGACATAGGGTTTTACAGCAGCAACCCTCTTGACCCAGGGCAACATTACCACATCAAGGCACTTGATGTAGGTCTCCATATTGAGTTTGAGGCCCTATGGGAAGATGAATGGAAGCATAATATCATCATCAGTAGTGATCACACCAAACGCCTTCGTAATCACCATTAGACTCATCCAACTCTTTCCAAATCTTCTGTACTGTCCTCAGATTGACACCCAAACACTCTGAAATATGTGTATTGGTGCTTCTAGCATGAATACCAAGCAGTACAGCATGCCTTTTCAAATTTCTGGTAGAGTGAATTGTATCATGGTACTCTCCAACTAAAACTACTATATACTGTGCCAAAATCAAAAACAATGTGCATGCACAAAATTAAAAATATAAAATAGTGATAATTTACCCATCACACACATTATTTGTATATATATATGTGTGTGTGCAGGTATGTTATGTAGGTGTTTATATGTATACATGTGTGTATGTATTGTATATATGTTTACTTGTGTGTTTGCATGGATATGTATATTTGTATATGTTTTTTTATGCATATACCACACATACACATATATAATAATTATGAAGATGAATTAGATATAATGAATTTAAGGGTTTTTTTTTATATATTATTTTTTTTTCACCCCTTATATGATGCTTGTTATTATATTGACACAGATGAGAAGATGACGTTATAAATTTTGATTTGATTTTAATATATTTCACTAGTTGTCACTTGTACTTCCCCCACCTATTCCTGCTGATTGCGCTGACACCTTGCTTCTCCTTTTCCTTTACCCCACTCCTCTCTTCAATAATGTAAATTTTAAGTGGGGGCTTCATACCCCAGGGCACCCCTCTGATCAAAATGAAATATACTTATCCAAGAAACCTGGGTAATGTAGTTTCAGAATATATATGGTTATCGAGGTCTATCTCCAAAACCCTTGGAGTTCAAACAGACAAACAGAAGCTACAACTTTCATATATATATATTTTTGTAGTGATTTTATAACATACTCATGTTATAATTTTTTTATAAATAATAATAATTATATATATATATATATATATATATATATATATAAGCGAGAGAGAGAGATATGTATGCAGTCTATATATAAACTTCACATGGTCAAACATATTAGCAAAAATAGCCAGTTAGGTTTTTATACAAATAGTTGTTTTCAAAGCTTAAGCTTAGTTCTTGCGCAAGACCATAAGTATGGCTCACCTTACAAGAATCAAACATCAGCTTTTAACAATGACTTGATTAAATGCTGACATATACAAACAT